TAGTCCTCTTTTTTTATTTTTTTATTTTATCTGTTGATTAGGGCCGGGAGGCGTTTTCCCTCCCACCCACCCCTTTGCATGCATTTCCAGGTTGGTACAGTGCCATGTCAGCAACAGTGCCACGTCAGCAGTGCCATGTCAACAGTGCCACGTCAGCAGTGCCACGTCAGCAACAGTGCCACATCAGCAGTGCCACGTCAGCAACAGTGCCACGTCAGCAGTGCCACGTCAGCAGTGCCCCGCCACCATGACGGGCGCAGCTCTGGGCATGCCAGGCCAACTGGCCAACGAGTCTATTGCCGACTACAAACAGCGGTTCCAGACTCAGCTCGCACTAATCGAGTTTGGCAGCCGAGGCTGTCCGCCTACAGGCTGAAGCCGCGGCAACAGCTGAGAAGCAGCGGCTTCAGGCCGAGGCTGCAGCAGATACACAGGCACACCGCAAGGAGGCCCAGGATCTGCTACAGCGGCATGAAGCCTCTAGCATTGAAAGGCTCAAGTATTGGCACTTTGAACCATCCGAGGAGCACGACGACGCGACACCGGAGGAACAACACATGGAATTCATGGCCAAACTCGTGACTCGGTTGGTTTACACTTGTAACCACCTGCAGTCCGAGCTGGCGAATATGCAGCGGGCCATGCGGAACCACAAGGCTCAGCATGAGGATACAGCACGGGCACTTGATCCCGTGTGCAGGACTTGGTGCAAGTTGCACCAAGACCGGAGGCTGGCGAGTCCAGCAATGCACCCTCTGCCCGCCAACTGGAGGAACGCGTCGACCACGCCGTCGCAATGCTCGGCGACATCAGCACCTTCGTTGCGCCAACCACCATCAGCAAACAGCTGGATACCTTGAAGACCGAGGTTCAGCAACTGCAGCTGCCTAACAGGGATGACAACAACACAACGCATTATAAGATGCCGACATTCCAAATTGAGAAGTTCGATGACTACACGCATCAAGACCCGGTCCTCTGGTGGGAAGGCTTTACAACGCAACTTCGGATTCTGTTTCGTCGCCAAGCACGGGTACATCGGCGCCCTGTTTCTCAACTCAAAGGGCGGATGCCAGATCTGGTTAAGCCACCTGACATCCATCCACGGCGTCAATGTCGCAGATCTGAAAGACAAGATCTCATGGGAAGAGTTAACACGGCTATGGAAGAAGCGGTTCATCGTGGACGACGCATCTGCACTCGCCATCAACCGTCTCTTCGGCATGACGCAAGGCAACACAGCAACACGTGACTGGCTCACGGAATGGCAGAAGATCGCGGCAACGCCCGGTCTCGACTTGCCATTTTCGCATCTGCGTCGCGAGTTCTACAACAGGTCATGTGCTGCATTGAGCCTTGCACTTGGTGATCGCGAGCAATATGCAACCTTCGCTGAAATCATTGACAAGGCGAGGGAGATCATCAAGACCAACAGGGCGGCTGCACACGAGAAGTCAACGTGGCAGCCAACCTATGTGGAGAAGGTAAAAACTGGTCCTCGACCGCAGCAGTTCGCTGCAGTCCAATCGGACAACATTGTGGAAGACCCGACAGCCACCCAAGCGTCACGTGAGGGAGATCAGGTGGCTGCTGTCCAGCCGCGAAGCAACAACAAGTCCCGAGGGAACGGGAAGGCGAAAACCGCATCGCCGGCCAGAAACGGACAGCCAGCACCATGGGTCAAGTTTCACTTGACCGAGGCCGAGTACAAGTACCGCGGCCGTTACGGCTGCTGCTATTGGTGCAATAGCACCAAGCACAAGACCTCCCTCTGCCAGGATCAGGGCAAGGAGGATGTTCGGCCTCGTATCAACTCGGGAAACTGAGTTCCGCGGGAGGTGAGGCGACTCCACCTCCCACTCCGCCAGATTCGTCCGCCTTGCTAGCGGCCTCCTACACATCTGGGAAGGATGCGAATGTCGTAAGTTCTCGGTATGCTTACGAGGACTATGCTGTCCACTTGGTCCCACCGTTGGACCAACAGCTCCACGTGCAACAATCTACCGCATGCACGGTTTCATCACCATCGGCAACCGATTCAGCAGCTTCGCCGCCATCTACCGCCGGGGATTCAACGCTATGGTCAAGACTTGAAGAGCTCGACCCGTTGACATTTGCGGACTACCAATGGATGCCCCTTCCCCGGTCCGGTCGATTGTCGAAACCGCATTGCAACGTGCTCATGGCACAATTGCGGGATTACTTGCACACTGCAGTACCAACTCCGTTGATGGACGCCGGAGTAGAGGTTGTCGACCTTCACGCCTACATTGCGAAGATCGACCGCGAGTTCAAGACGCAATGGTACGACGACATCGACGCACCATTGTTATATATACGCATTCAGATCGGAGAGGCGACCTGCAGCGCTTTGATCGATTGCGGAGCATCTCGCAACTACATGAGCCAGGACTTTATGGTATGCGCTGGCCTTGGCCCACGCGTCCGGAGAAAGTCCCAGCCTACGCAAGTCATGTTGGCAGATGGTCACACGCACAAGTCGATGGACCGGTGCATCGATGATGTCCCGGTGTACTTTGCCCCGCACGCAAGCGAGGTGGTGTCCTTCGATATCTTGGACACCAAATTCGACATGATCTTGGGCATGTCATGGCTGCGAAGCGAGGATAACCCGGTGAACTTCTACCGCCGCACCGTTCACGTTCGTGATCGGAACGGAGTACTAGTCCCATGCACGGTAGCTCCTCCTCACCCTTCGATCAGCTGCCATGTGGTGTCCGCCGCAAGCATGCGAGCTTCCATCATCAGAGACGACATCGAGGAGATGGGGGTGTGTTTTCTCCACGCCCTCCCGCCCCATGATGCTTCATCGACGGACTCATCTTCGGACCCACGCATCACCGAGCTTCTCGACGCCTACAGCGACGTGTTCGAAGGCCCACACGGAGTAGTACCGGATCGGCCCATCCGCCACGAGATCATCCTCGAGGACGGGGCCGTACCTCCGCGCGGTTGCATCTACCGAATGAGCGAGGAAGAGTTAAGTGTGCTACGGGCACAACTCGACGACCAACTGGAGAAAGGCTGGATTCGGCCTAGCTCATCGCCATACGGTGCTTCTGTTCTCTTCGTCCGGAAGAAGAACAAGGATTTGCGGTTGTGCATCGATTATCGCAAGCTCAACGCGCAAACGATCAGAAACGCCGGCCCTCTCCTACGCATCGACGACCTTCTCGAACGATTGGGCGGCGCCAAGTTCTTCTCCAAGCTGGACCTCAAGTCGGGATATCACGAACTCGACATTCGGAAGGCGGACCGCTACAAGACCGCGTTTAAGACGCGATATGGGCATTTCGAATGGCTGGTTATGCCATTTGGCCTTACGAATGCCCCGACCACTTTCCAAGCGGCTATGACAACGGAGTTCCGACACATGCTGGATCGATTCGTACTTATCTACCTCGACGACATCCTGGTGTACAGCCGGAGTTTGGACGAGCATCTGGAACACCTGCGCACCGTTTTGGAGCGGCTACGACAAGCCAAGTACAAAGCCAACCGCGACAAATGCGAATTCGCGCAGCAGGAGCTGGAGTACTTGGGACATTATGTGACGCCGCAAGGCAACCGTCCGCTTGTGGACAAGATTGAGGCCCTCCGCGTATGGCCCGAGCCCACCAACACCACCGACGTTCGTTCATTCATGGGGTTGGCGGGCTACTATCAGCGATTCATCACGGATACTCAAGGATTGCTGCATCTATGACAAGATTACAATCGCCAAAGGTGCCCCGGTCATTCCAAGCACTTAAGACGGCCATGCTCATGGCACCCGTCCTTAGCATCTATGACCCCACCTTGCCTACGAGAGTGACAACTGACGCTTCCGGCTATGGCATTGGGGCAGTCTTGGAACAACACAACGGCGACGAATGGCACCCTGTGGAGTATTTCAGCCACAAAGTGCCTCCCATCAACTCGCTTGATGATGCAAGGAAAAAAGAGCTGCTCGCGTTCGTGATGGCTCTCAAGCGATGGCGGCACTTCCTCCTTGGGCGTCGTAGGTTCACATGGGTCACGGACAACAACCCATTGACCTACTACAAAACGCAGGATACGGTGAGCAGCACGATCGGACGATGGATGTACTTCATCGACCAATTTGACTTCACACCGAAACATCTCCCCGGCCTCTCCAATCGCGCAGTAGATGCACTCTCGCGAAGACCTGATCTTTGCGCCATGACACATCATGCCTTCGCATTCGACGAGGAACTCCAGCGACACTTCATCCGGGGCTATGAGTCTGATCCGGACTTCGCCACGTTGTATGCGCAGCTATCTTCGGATCACCCGCTGGCCAGGCACTATCGCATTGCCGACGGGTACTTGCTCCTCTACTCGAGAGGCAAGGACTTACTATGTGTCCCACGAGACCGTCGTCTTCGGACTCACCTTCTCGGCGAGTATCACGACTCTCGACTCACCGTCCATTTCGGAGTCAACCGCACCATTGCACGGCTTCGACAACGATTCCGATGGCCCGACCACATTACCAATGTCACTCGGTATTGCGACTCTTGCGAAGTTTGCCGACGAAGCAAGCCCCGCAATCGCAACCCCTACGGCAAGTTGCGCCCGATGCCTATCCCACGGGAACCCGGCCTCTCCATTGCCATGGATGTCACCGGACCATTTTCCCGCAATCGCCTCGGGCACGGCGACATCCTCACGGTTGTGGACCGTTTGAGTAAGTATGCGCGTTTTCTCCCTTGCAAGTACTACTCCACGGCTTCCGAGCTGGCACGCCTCTTGCACATCGGTTGGATTTGTGGCCACGGTGTACCGGAAGACATAGTCAGCGACTGCGACACTCGCTTCATGTCGGCATTTTGGACTGCTCTCATGCAGGAGTCCGGCACGAAGATGAAACCAAGTTCGGCTCAGCATCCACAGACGGACGGGCAAACGGAGCGAGCACATCAAACCGCTCAAATGATGCTTCGTACGCTCATCCGTCCGGACCAGAAAGATTGGGTTGACCGCCTCCCCGACATCGAGTTCGCGTACAACACTTCGGTGCACCCGGCGATCGGCGTGACTCCATTCGAGTTGCACCACGGTGGACGAAAAGGCCATATCTTCGCCGACCTTCTCCCACGACCAGCCGACATCTACGCCGCTTGCTCTCCCACTTCCGTTCGGAAGTACAGGGAATTGCTGGCTCAAGCCCGCGCGAACATGCAAAAGGCTCAAGTCCGCATGCAGTAGCAGGCCAACAGGCGTCGCGTGCCGGTGATCTGGTTTGGGTCTCCGCGGAAGAGTTTGCACTGGAACAGGACGTTTCACGCAAACTGCTTCCCAAGTGGTTTGGATCATGGCCCGTAACAGCAGCCGCGGGCTATGAGCCCGATGGCCCTTCATTTGTGATCAACATCCCCGCGCATCTGACAATCCATCCAGTCTTTCATCCCTCCAAGCTGGCAACATATACACCAGCTAAGAGCGAGGATTTCCCGGGCCGACGATCGCAGGACCCTCCATGTATGGATGGTCATTAGGAGGTTGACCGCGTCATCACGGATCACAAGTACGGCAACAAGCCTCGACAGACAAAGTTACATTCAGAGCATGCGATCCCGACGACACTCGGTGGATTTCAGGAACAGATTTGAAAGCATCCACACCGCTGATCTTCGCTCACTACAAGCGACAAAGGTTAGCTCAGGGACCTTCACGACCTGCCCCTCCCACCCGGACTGTGGTCCCTCCCTCAGACAGACAACTTCACCCTCGAAGGTAAGCTCGGTCTTTCAAGGAGGGGGGGGTGTGGCATGCTGCGTAGCCACACGGGCCTGCAGGGCCCGTCCCGCATTCCCAGTCTAAAAGCCTAGAAATAAGGGCTTAGAGGCCCCTGTCGTTTCAGCCTGAAAGACTGAAGAACGAGCGCCTGCAGGCCCTATGTCGTTTCAGCCTAAAACAGGGCTTTTCAGCTCTGAGGCTTTTCAGCCTGAAAAGGAGGGCCACTTTCGGGACCTCATAAGATTGACCTACCCTAATACTCAGGCACAAAAACAGGGTTTCGAGAACAGGCTATTTCTGGCCTGTTCCCCACGACAGCCTCAAGTAGGAGCTGCAGCGGCAGCCCCTGACTTCCTTCGGCATTGGCAAGAGCAGCCTCCTGGAGCGCCTCGCCCTGCAGTCAGGAGGCACCCGAGTAGTACATAGGAAGTTCCCATGCACTTCACGGGTAGGTAGYTGGACAGTAGGCACGAGTAGTCTTCAGGATTCGGCCGCAGCACTCAGGAGGAGCGCTGCAGTAGTAGTTAGCGCTAGCAGTAGTCTTCAGCGCTGGGCGCTCATAGCTGCAGGAGTAGTCTTCAGCGCAGGGCGCTTGTAGCTGGTTGTAGTAGTGTTGGAGAGAGATGGCTGGCGGAGGCCAGCGGTACTTACCTGTGGCGCCATAGCTCCAGCTCCATCTTCGAGGTACCTGCATGTTACATCTTTGACGCCACACGGGCCCTACCGGACCCGACTTAGGGCCAGAGGGACACAGTAGGGCCTAAAGGCCCAGACTTGGGGGTACAACAGGCCGAAAGGCCACATTTTTGGACCAGACCGACGAGCAGGCCCAAACGACATTCTCGTTTTGGGCCTGGCGRCGCTTTTGAGGCTGCCGCCCGCCGATCCGATTTGAATCGTCAATCTTGACGGTTCAGATCACGGCCAGGCCTCGCAGCATTGAGGCCGGCCTCTTTTCCACCGGTACTAAAGATCGGTGCAGCCTCATTGCGAGGCATCGAGCCACTGGCATGATGCATCAGCGCCAGTGCGTATCGGTTCAGCGGAGGAGCAGTAGCACCAGCGCTATTCTTAGCGCAGCGCGGAGGAGCAGCAGCAGCGCAGCTAGCGCAGCAGCAGTAGCGAGCGAGGAGCCAGGCAGCGGGCAGCCATAGCCGATCTCGGCTTCGGTCAGCTGCAGCAGGCCAGGTACTCGGGAGTGAGGCCTTCTGCTCCCTCCACAGTCCCTGGCTCCCCTCTTCCTCATCTCTCTCCTCCTCTCCCCTCTTCTTCTTCTTCTTCATCTCTTCTTCTTCTCCTTCAGACTTCTCCCTCTTCTTCTTCTTCTTCTTCAGACTGGAGACTTGATGCTAGTTGGATAGAGATCAGTGTTGGACTTCGATGGCAAGAGGCTGTGGTACTTACCGGGTTCGAGACTTGGAGATTGTTGGGGATGATACTCGGCTGCATCACAGATTGGACACCGGTTACATTAGGACTCTGTATCTCCGACATTGGTGACTTATTGTCCACGACATTTGATCTTGTTCGATGACATTTTGGACTACCATATCGATGACCTACTGGATTCTATCTCGGTGACATCTGGTGCTACATCTCCCACCTCCTTCGTCTCTCCTCCCACCTCTCATCTGTGTCTGTTTGTACGGGGCCTGAGCATCGTCTGTGCTTGGCTCAGACCCCACCATCTCACGATTGTTTGTGTGTGGAGTGATATCTGTGTGAGTCAGTCCATTATCAGACTTCCGCTGCATACATGCTCATCCTATATTTTGGTTGATCTTTGGTTCTGCCCGATGCTCGTTGAAGTATTCACGAGTATGTAACAGTTTTGGTATCGGAGCAGACCAAACGATGGATCTGCTCACCAGGTAAGCCTGATTTAGGAATAGATTGCTTCTTCGATCTTCCAAATCAGCTCTGTATTACTATCGAGATTCAAAGTTGCAATTTTTTTTTCTTTTTTCGGTATTCTGTTTAATTCGGCATTCCGTTTCAATTCGGTATTCGGACTTTCAATTCGGATTTCTGTTTTAATCTGGTATTTTGTTTAATTCGGGTTCCGATTAATTGGTATTCTGGTTAATCCGATATTCTGTTTTACTTCGGATTTCTGATTCTAATTCGTTATTAGGTTTAAATCAGTATTCTGTTTAATTCGGCATTCTGATTTCAATTCGGTATTCCGTTTTTAATTCGGCATTCTGTTTTAAGTCCTGTATTTCGTTTTTCTAAATCGGAATTTCCGTTTTATTTCGGTATTGGAAATTAGGGTTACGATAATTTCGGTTTTGTTCAAATTGGGAAATTCGAAGGTTTTTGGAACCGTAAAACCGAAAATTCCGCGGAATCACGAAAAATTAGGGTTGGATTCCGAAATTTTCGCGATTTTTTTTTCTTTCCCTAGTTAGAGAAATTTCGAAAACGGACTTAGGCCTTGAAAAATCGGATTTTGCAGGTGGAAATTCCCGAAATTTTACGTTTTTCAAAAATTCGAGTGTTTTTCTCCCTGATTTTCCGAATTTTTTTTTTGGCAAACTGTTCAAAATCGTTCCCTCAGAATTGCAACTTCCGAGTAATTCACTCATCAAAGGTGAACTCCCGGACCATAGGAGATCTCAACAGATACCTAATCTTGTCACAATTTAAATACGGTAATTATCATTATTGTATTATTGTTTTATTGATTATTAAGAAATATTAATTCGTTATTAATCATTTAATTCAAATTTTATTGATTATTAATTCATTATTATTTCTTATTACGAAATTTTAAAGTTGTGTTGGGAAAGTTTATTTTTTCCTGTTGATTAGGTGTCTAAGTCCATCATTGGGACAAGGACTGCATGTGAATTGCCTGATCTGTTCTACCCCTGTACCCACCCTCTCCCTCTCACTGTTCTGCAACCATTCGGACAAGCCAGCCTTCAGCAGCAGTTTCTCTGATGCCAGCAGGGCAAGCCACTGAACAACAGCCATGACGCAGTAGGAGGATCGCAGATTGCCAACAGCAACAGCAACCTGCAGTTCGACAGTAGCCACCGACCAGCACTCAGATGGCGAACACGCCGAACAGCGGGACGTCATCCGAGACATCGACATCTAGCAATGCCGAACCATTGTCGGTCTGTCCTGCTCAAGGGCCGAATGAGCCCATCGCGGACTACATTCAGAGAGTGCAAACCTATATGGCCGCACTAACCCTTGCCAAGGAACGGCAAGATGCTGCCGAAGCAGACAAACAGCGGCTAGCAGCAGAAGCTGCAGCCCACGCCCAGCAACAAGTTGAGGCGGCGCAGTTGGCGACCGACCAGCCCAACGCCGACAGTGTCGAGCTTCTGATCTCTCAACAAGATCAGTGGACAGCGGTACTCAACGGGATGCGTTATGTCCCCGTAGCAGGCGCCGAGCCGACGACAGTACAACAGGAGAGACAAAACCTGGCGGACATTCTACTCAACACAATGCGTGCCGTCATCCGGAACAGCTCCATGGGGGAACTTCATTCCCGATCTACACAGCAGCTACAGAACGATCTCACCCATAACGTGAAGACGCTTGCAACAGCCGTTAAGGTCGTAGACTCCCAGCTGAAACAGATGGACACCCACATTGCTGCTCTGGAGGCAAGGCCTTCCCAAGCAGCGCCAGGCTGCACAACAAACACAGCGAAGCAGCTCAATGGGCGCATCGACCATGTCGTCAATCTCATTGGCGACCTAGGTGCTTTCACTGGTCCGGACACGATCAGCAGCACGGTGGCCGCCATCAAGATGGACATCACCAAGCTGCAGACAAGACCGGACGCCGCTACAAAGAACTACAAGATGCCGCACTTCAACATCAGCAAGTTCGACAACTACAACAAGACATACACTTTGACATGGTGGCAAGGCTTCCTCACGGAAGCATCCTGCCGCACTGTCCCGGCTGAAGACATGTTGAAGGCGCTCTACCTACAACTGATTGGAGGAGCACAAGCATGGATGAACCATCTTGCGGCCACCAAGCAATGCACCATCGCCGAACTCCACACACACATTACGTGGAAGGAGTTCGAGCAACTATGGTTCACTCGGTTCATGGTCCGCAACGTCGTGAAGGCGGCCATGAACGAGGTGTACACCAGCTCACAAGGAAGCATGCCAACTCGAGACTGGACAATCAAATGGCGGAAGATAGTGACCACGCCAGGCTTCGATTTGAGTTTTCCAAACCAACGATCCGAGTTTTTCTCGCGATCGTGCGCACGACTGCGGTCGGCACTTGGCAACGAGTACGACTATGCCTCATTCCAGGCTATTCTGGATCGCGCGAACCTGGTCATCCAAACGGACGACAAGGCCACTAACGAGAAGCAGTCCCAGCCGCACTATGTGGCTAAGCAGGGCTATCAACGACCGACACATAACAATGCCGTGATTTCTGAAGAATCCGTCGATCTCCACGCTGCAGCAGCATCCTCGAGTGATGGAGGAGCTGTCGCAGCGCTCCCGCCGTCCCAAGAGAGTTCAAAGAAACTGGCGACACAAGCGACGACATCGACGGGAACTGGGCAGCAGCCATGGACGGCATACGACACAACCAAGGAAGTATTTGACCTGCGTCAACGGTACGGATATTGCCTATGGTGTAATAGTGTCACACACACTACCGCACAATGCCCAGACAAGGGCAAGGCACTCGTACCCCGTCCAGCTAACTCGGGAAACTGAGTTACGCAAGGAGGGGCGACGCCTCTCCTCACTCCGCCGGAACCAGTTGCCTTGCTAGCAATCGATGTCACTACCGGGAAGCATGCGTTAGTCGCTGATTCTCGTGCTACGTACGAGGATTATGCCGCCCAGTTGGTACCACCATTAGACCAGCCGAGCCACGTGCACTTAGATTGCGTATGCGCAGCCTGTACACCGTCGGCAAGTGATCCGGTCAGCTCGCCACTGATTTCCGAGGACTCGACGGCATGGTCAAGACTTGAGGAGCTTGACCCGCTCAGTACCAGCTCCGTTGACGGACGACGGGGTAGCGGTTGTCGATCTCCGCTCCTATCTTGCGAAGATTGACCGCGAGTACGCCACCCAAAGGTACGCCAAAACCGACGCTCCTTTGCTCTATATCCGCATTCAAATCGGAAAGGCAACCTGTAGTGCCCTGATTGATTGCGGAGCGTCTCGCAACTTTATGAGCCAAGCCTTTATGGCCCGTGCAGGCCTTGGCCCGCGCGTTCGAAGGAAGACGCAACCTACGCAAGTTACACTCGCGGACGGCCGCACGCAGAAGTCAATTGACCGATGCATCGACGACGTTCCGGTATATTTTGCACCACTTGCGTGCGAGCCGGTGTCTTTTGACATCCTCGACACCAAGTTCAACATGATTCTAGGCATGTCTCGGTCGCGTAGCGCCGATCATCCGGTGAACTTTCATGACCGGACCGTTCACATCCGTGATCGAAACGGAGTGTTAGTCCCATGAACGGTCGCGACCCCTCACACTTCGATTGCTTGTCACGTGGTTTCCGTTGCGAGAATTCGCGACGCCATAGCTCGGAACGACGTCGAGGAGATGGGCCTTGTATTCTTGCATGCTCTCCCCTCGCTGGACGGACCAGCCGCGTCACCGCCGGACCCACGCATTTCTCACCTCTTGGACGAGTATAGAGACGTTTTCGAGGCTCCCACCGGAACGGTTCCGGATCGGCCCATACGTCACGGGATCACTCTTGAGGCTGGTGTCGTCCCTCCGCGTGGATGTATTTACCGCATGAGTGAAGAGGAACTCGAGGTGCTTCTTGCACAACTCGATGACCTTCTCGACAAGGGCTGGACTCGCCCTAGTTGTTCGCCTTACGGCGCCCCTGTTCTCTTCGTCCGGAAGAAGAACAAAGATCTACGGTTATGCATCGACTATCGCAAACTTAACGCACAAACCGTAAAGAACGCCGGCCCTCTCCCTCGGATTGATGATCTCCTTGAGCGGTTAGGCGGCGCGACGTACTTCTCAAAGTTGGACTTGAAGTCGGGTTACCACCAGATTGAAATCCAGCCTCAAGATCGGTACAAAACCGCGTTCAAGATGCGGTACGGGCATTTCGAGTGGGTTGTCATGCCATTTGGCCTCACCAATGCCCCCGCGACTTTCCAAGCAGCTATGACGACTGAGTTTCGCGACTTGCTCGATCACAACGTCCTCATCTACCTCGATGACATCCTGGTTTATAGTAGGACGTTAGACGAGCACATCGTACACCTTCGCGCTGTTTTGGATCGTTTGCGATTGGCCAAGTACAAAGCGAATCTCGACAAGTGCAAGTTCGCCAAGCAGGAGCTTGAGTACTTGGGTCACTTTGTCACGCCGAAAGGCATTCGTCCCTTAGCGGACAAGATCCGAGCCATCGTGGATTGGTCGGAACCCCGTTGCACGACGGTTGTACGCTCTTTCATGGGTTTGGCTGGATATTATCAGCAATTCGTCGAGTCATACTCGAAAGTGGCCGCCCCCTTGTCGAGACTTCAGTCCCCRAAGGTGCCCTTCGAGTTCGACGACGCAGCCCGTGGCGCGTTCACTACGTTGAAGGCAGCGATGCAAGCCGCACCTGCCCTCCGTATATACGACCCCACCCTTCCCACCCAAGTGACTACGGACGCTTCGGGATACGGTATTGGTGCGGTGTTGGAACAGTGTCACGAGGACGGTTGGCATCCGGTCGAGTACTTCTCCCAAAAGGTGCCTCTCGTCAACACTCTCGACGACGCTAGGAAGAAAGAGCTACTCGCGTTCGTCACCGTTCTCAAACGGTGGCGCCACTTTCTTCTCGGTCGTGGCGTTTTAAATGGAATGCAGACAACAATCCGTTGACCTTTTATAAAACGCAGGATACGGTCACTAGCACGATCAGGTCGATGGATGTATTACATCGACTAGTTCGACTTTGACCCGTGCCACATTCCCGGTTCCACCAATCGAGCTGCGGACGCCCTCTCACGCCGGCCCGATTTTTGTGCCATTGTGACCACGACATTCGACCTCAATGACGATCTGCAGCCACATTTCGTCAAAGGCTACAAGTCCGATCCGACCTACTCTACGCTTTACGCGGAGCTTTCATCGGATCACCCGCCGGCTAGCCACTATCGGATTTCCGACGGGTTCCTTCTCCTTCACACGAGAGGAAAGGACTTGTTAGTTGTGCCCCAAGATCGCATCTTACGGACTCGTCTTCTCGGCGAATTCCACGACGCACGACTTTCGACACACCTTGGCGTAAACCGCACGTTAGCACGCCTCCGCCAGCGTTTTCACTGGCCCGACGTCCTTCACGACGTCACAAGATACATTGAGTCATGTGCAGTTTGCCACCGTAACAAGGGTCGATGCACCGCACCTCTCCATTGCTATGGACGTGACAGGCCCGTTCCCCCGCGATCGCCTCGGCCATGACGGTATTCTCGCGATCGTTGACCGTTTGAGTAAGTATGCTCGCTTCCTTCCTTGCAAGTATCATGCTGCAGCGCCTGAGCTCGCACGACTCTTGCACACCGGTTGGATTACGAACCAGGGTGTTCCGGAAGACATAGTGAGCGACCGAGATACTCGCTTCATGTCGGCCTTTTGGACTTCCCTTATGGCTGAGTCCGGTACGACAATGAAGCCGAGTTCGGCTCGGCACCCACAGACGGATGGCCAGACGAAGCGAGCGCACCAGACCGCTCAGATGATGTTGCGTACGCTCATCCGTCCCGACCAGAAAGATTGGGTTGACCGGCTTCCCGACATTGAGTTCGCCTATAACACTTCGGTGCACCCGACGATTTGCGTCACACCATTCGAGCTACATCATGGTGGGGAGAAAGCACGGATCTTCGCTGATCTCCTTCTGCCACAGGCCGCCGACATAGACGTCCCTTGCTCTCCCGCTTCTGCCCGGAAGTGTCGGGACTTGCTGATCAAAGCCCGCACAAATATGCAAAAGGCTCATATCCGCATGCAGCACAGGCTAACCGACGTAGACTTCCATGTCCTTTCCGCGAGGAAGACCTTGTTTGGGTCCTCTCCGAGGAATTTGCGCTCGAGCAGGACGTTTCGCGCAAACTCCTTCCGAAATGGTTCGGACCATGGGAAGTTACTTCTGCCGTTGGAGACGACCCCGCAGGTCCTTCCTTTGTGGTCAACATTCCACCGCACCTTCCAGTGCACCGGGTCTTCCACGCATCGAAGCTGACCATCTACACGCCACCTTCCGCCGGCGAGTTTCCCGGTCGACGATCACAGGATCCGCCTTCTATGGACGGACATCAGGAAGTGGACCGAGTCATCACGCACCGCAAGTATGGCAACAAGCCAATGCAGTTCGAAGTCACATTCAAGCAATGTGCGCCTGACGACACTCGGTGGATCTCTAGTGCAGACTTGCAGACTTCTGCACCCCTTATCTTCGCGGACTATGAGAAGCGACGCCTTGCCAAGGAAGCAGCTCGTCCCGCCCGACCTGCCCCGGTATCGGACAGACAACTCCGCCCTCGCAGGTAGCTCTGTCTTTTAAGAGGGGGAGTGTGTTACATCTTCGACGCCACACGGGCCCTACCGGACCCGACTTAGAGCCAGAGGGACACAGTAGGGCCTAAAGGCCCAGACTTGGGGGTACAGCAGGCCGAAAGGCCACATTTTTGGACCAGACCGACGGGCAGGCCCAAACGACATTCTCGTTTTGGGCCTCGCGGCGCTTTTGAGGCTGCCGCCCGCCAATCCGATCTGAATCGTCAATCTTGACGGTTCACATCACGGCCAGGCCTCGCAGAATTGAGGCCGGCCTCTTTTCCACCGGTACTAAAGACCGGTGCGGCCTCATTGTGAGGCATCGAGCCACTGGCATGATGCATCAGCGCCAGTGCGTATCGGTTCAGCGGAGGAGCAGTAGCGCCAGTGCTATTCTTAGCGCAACGCGGAGGAGCGGCAGCAGTAGCGAGCGAGGAGCCGGGCAGCGGGCAGCCATAGCCGATCTCGGCTTCCGTCAGCTGCAGCAGGCCAGGTACTCGGGAGTGAGGCCTTCTCCTCCCTCCACGGTCCCTGGCTCCCCTCCTCCTCACCTCTCTCCTCCTCTGCCCTCTTCTTCTTCTTCTTCATCTCTCCTCCTTCTCCTTCAGACTTCTCCCTCTTCTTCTTCTTCTTCATCTCTTCTTCATCTCTTCTTCTTCTTCTTCAGACTTCGTCTTCTTCTTCTTCAGACTGGAGACTTGATACTAGTTGGACAGAGATCAGTGTTGGACTTTGGTGGTAAGAGGCTGTGGTACTTACCGGGTTCGAGACTTGGAGATTGTTGGGGATGATACTCGGTTGCATCACAGATTGGACACCGGTTACATTAGGACTCAGTATCTCCGACAGTGGTGACTTATTGTCCACGACATTTGATCTTGTTTGATGACATTTTGGACTACCATATCGGTGACCTACTGGATTCTATCTCGGTGACATCTGGTGCTACCTACATCTCATCTGTGTCTGTTTGTAGGGGGGCCTGAGCATTGTTTGTGCTTGGCTCAGACCCCACCATCTCACGATTGTTTGTGTGTGGAGTGATATCTGTGTGAGTCAGTCTATGTGAGTCAGTCCATTATCAGACTTCCGCTGCATACATGCTCATTCTATATTGGTTGATCTTTGGTTCTGCCCCATACTCGTTGAAGTATTCACGAGTATGTAACACTGCATCAAGGCGCCATCTTCACAGGTTAGTACTGGACACAGAGAGAGAGAGAGAGTTCTTCTTCTTCCTCTTCTAAGCCCACCATCTCTTCTTCACCCTCTCACCACCTGACTTCTCAATATCGGCAGACTACTACAGAGAGAGAGAGTTGTGACTTGAGACTTGACGACATTGGATCCAGACTCGACATTGGGATTCAGACATTTTGACGAGGGACTATTTGGGCCTGTGCCGAAGACTTGGTGTTGACGACATTCCCATCTTCCCCCTCCTCTTTGTCTAACCCCCCTCTTCTTCGTATGTGTATGGTTGGGGCTGGTGCAGTCTTCCTCTGTGAGCGCCAGACCCCTTCACACCATGAAATGATGATGATGATGATGTATGTTCGGGGCTGCATTGCAATATTGATTGTTCGGATCATTGGTATCTAAGTCTTCCGCTACGCTATCTTGTACTTTGTATTGAGAGGTCGGTTCTTGTTCTGGTTTGCACCGTTACAGTATGCAACATTATGGCTGCACCCAACTGGAAGGACACCTTGTATATATTTGCTATCAGGGTGTGATGTGTTCGGGGGAAGACGGTAGTGTGAGTGTACTCTCTCTCTCTCTCTCTCTCTCTCTCTCTCTCTCTCTCTCTCTCTCTCTCTCTCTCTCTTAGCACTACTGAAATCAGACTCACTTTCATTCACACTTCACATGCATGCAAACAGGTTGCGCAGCAAACTGGCGTGAAGCGCCCACTCAGAACTCAGAGATATAGTACCAAGAACGCAACTCAGATACAAGTTCGCTTCAAACGGCTATGGCGCACATCGCTTGTACAACTCTCTGTTCGTCACTTACTCAACACTGTTGTTCACACACAGGATCAGCCTGGATATCCCACACGCAACACTCTGTACACTTGCACACACCCTCACACACCTACAACTATGGCGGCTATGGCTGCTGCTACTCTATCGCTATGGCTAACTTCCTTCTCGTCCACTTCGTCCTCGGGCTCACTGCAGACCACCTCGCACAAGTCGCTATGGCAGCGCTT